AGCGGCCGAGCCTGAGGTCCGGAGGAGCGGAAGATCTTAGCGTAAGTACGCAACATTTCGTAACGTTCGAGGGTTTCGCCCTGGCTAGCGCCAGCCTTGTAGGTTTTGACAAGCTCTACCATTTCCTGGTAGGCCGCGTAGGGACCCAGTTTGCGGTGGTAGGGTTCGGGTCGAGAGTGTGGATAGGAAAGTTCGATGCGTGACTGAAGACGCTCATTCACTATGGCCTCGGCCTTAAGCCGGAGGTTGGCATAGAGCTCCTGTGAGAGACCCTGGGGACACCAGCCGGATGCGGTCATACCAGCCTCGCTCTCTGAAACCAAGCTGCCTCCATCTGGCATTTCGCCGTCTTGACCCTCCTCATCAGCAGCAACAACGAGGACAGTCTGTGAAGGTGAGAGAAGACAGAGAAAGGCACTTTAATTATCATGACTAGCCAAGATTCTAGGGCATACTTAACAGGTTAGAAGCTAGCCTAAAAAAGCTACAACACTGGGTACAAGAGGTTGACAAGGATTATGATGCTGATAGTAGGAGCGGCAGGTAATGGTGGCAGTATTGGCAGTAGTAGTTGTAATCGGATTAATAGTAACACTAGCAGTAGTAGCCATCGTAGTACTACCAGCGGTAGTATCAGTAACAGTAGTAGGAACAATAAGAATAATAGCAGTGATAACACGCCGGGAATTTTGAAATTGGTTTCGAATTTAAGCTCTTTGCGCTTAAGAGGTTTTTAGTCTATACCTTAGTGTAGAAGACACAACTGACTGAAAAAACTGACAAAGGAACTGCGTATTATCTCCCCTTTGGAAATATCCTTTCTGAGTGAGACGAATCCTTCGCTTTCACAATATAACTGGACCACGGATTAAACCACGCTCTGAATTTATTCCTACGATCAGCACGAGTCTGGATGTTCACTCGCTCCTAAAAACATCGCTGCTTCTGACACCGATTGCTACAGTGCAAAGAACTCCTTACAACAAAGGCTGAGTCGTTCACATT